GTCGCCGACCGTGCCCCCGCCCGCTCTGTCATCACCTCCACCCACTCCCCGGCCCACTCTGCCGTCACCCCCACTCACGCTGCTACTCCCCGCCACCATCACTGCTCCTTCTTCCACCCAAACCGCCACCGTGCACACGCACCCTCCGGCCCGCTCCACCGTCAGGTCTCCCCGCTCTCCGACCCGCTCACCGTCATCTCCACGGACTCTCCAAACGACTGCTCGGTCACTTCCAGTCACTCTCCGACCGCTCCGCCCTCCTCTCGACCGCTCTCCGACCCACTCCGCCATCGCAACCCCCCCCCCAGCCGTTCTGCCACCCGAACGACGCGGTCTCCTCCCACTCCGCCCTCATCGCTGCGCACTCTTCTGCCCACCCACCCTCCTCTCTGATCCCCCTGCTGCCCACTCATGATCATCTCGGCTCACCTCCAGCCCACTCCACCGTCTTCTCGTCGCACTCACCTCCTCACTCCACCACCACCTCTGCTCTCTCCAGCCCCCTCCGTCCTCGCTCTACTTCCTCTCCAGCATAGTCAGCCCCACCCACCGTCAACCCACTGACATCACCTCCGCTCGCTCTCCCACCCGACCCATCCTCACTACTCACGCCCCAACCTGCTCCACCATCATGTCACTGACCCACTAGCCGTCACCTCCGCTCGCTCTCCGCACGACTCTGCCGTGGCTTCCACTCACTCTCCAGCCACGTCACCGTCACGCCCGATCACTCTTCTACCCACGAACCACCACCTCTGCTGACCCCCCTACGCACTCCACGTCGACTCACGCTCCTGCCCGCTCCAACACCGTCCCCACTCACTCTTCCACCCACGGCGCCGTCGCTTCTGCTCTCCCTCCTGCTCCTCCGCCAGCATCTGGACGCCCTCTCCCGCCCACCCACCAGCCTCTCTACTCACCTCCCGCCGCTCCAGCGCCACCACGACTCCCTCCAACGCCCGCCCCATCACCGCTGTTCCCTTTCCAGCCATTCTCTTCTCCACACACTAGGCCACCTTTCTCCGCCCCAGAACGTGGCTCGTCTGCCAGACGCACATTGCAACGCCCGCTCTTCTCACAGGACACATCCACGGGCTGCCGCCATCTTTTTCCTTACCCCCTAACCCTCACGGAGCCCCTGGGGCCTTCTCCCACCTACCGGTGTCTCTCAACTGTCCTTCCGGCCCAGCGCCCAGCGTGTCTAAGCCCTGCTTCCAGAACCTCCAGGCTGTCTTCAGGGGCGTCCTCCTTTAGCCTCCTCCGGCGTGCCCGGACGGCCTCCCTCCGGCTCCGCGTCTTAGGACTCCTGGTGCTCATTCACGCCCCAACGGACGTCCGGGAGGACTTGGGGAGAAGACCCAGGCCTCTCGGTCCTGCAGCAGGGTGTTGCTGCGCAACGTCCCCGCTTTGCAGTTTCCCAGGGATCTGCAGAGCTGGGGTCCCAGCCTGCCCCCGTTATCCCAAGGGCTGGCTCACTGCCAAGCTCTCACCTGTCACAGCCTGCTTCAGACACCCCACTGCTGCCTGTTCCTCCTGCAAGGCTGCCACAACCATTGTTTCAGAACTCACTGGTCATGCCCCCTACTTAACGAGTTAGCTGCGGAAAAGCTCACATGCGTCACTTGCAGGCACCTCCTTTTGTAGCTGCACGCCACGGCTGGCCATGCCCCACCGCGAGGCTGGACGGCGGCCTCGCCTCTCCTGCTGCCACCTCCAGCCGACCACCCTGCTCCCCACAGCCCCAGCCCATGGACCCAAACCCTGTTGGCTCAAGGGGAGTGCCCACCCTAGGCCCACCCAGCATTTCACACGACCGCGCCTGGGGTGCCCACGCTGGGGGGGTTTGGTGTCCCGTCCCAAGCACCGCCTGCCTGCTGGCACCGCTCTGCAGCCCCAACACAGAGGGTGCTGCTGACACAAACTGCACTAAGTCAGCATGGAACGAACAAGCACCTCACGGGCACCTTGCTGCCCACAGAAGCGAGGCTGGTAACTGCTCGCGGAGAGCGCACGCCACAGGAACACACCCCAGCACGGGCCCTGGGCCCAGCCTGCTGGAAAGAGGCCTCGTGCGCCTCGCGGCTCACAGAGCGTGGGCCCAGGTCTTCCACCGGAGAGTCACCCCAGGCCTCGGACGGACGCTAGTCACAATACAGCGACGGAGCAGCACACCTAGACTCCGCCTTCCCGTCCGAACACCACACGGGCCACCCTGTGCTCCCATGCCCTCCCTGCCAGAGGCCCGGCACTTGAAGACAGGGATGTCGTCTGGGGTTGCCCCGGGATCCCTGCAACCCCAGGACTGAGGAAGAGGTGACACCTCGGACGGGTCAATGCCGGGACACATTCCTACCACGTCTGTGGGTTTCAGCCGACCCAGCCTGCCTGGCCTGTGCGTCCACCTTCACGTGACAAACCAACGAGCAGCCTTCCCTGCTGCCACCAACAGGACGATGCGTTCTGGGAGACACCGGGGGTCCAGCTGGTGTCTACGTGACTCCGCCGACCGGCCCAGCAGAAGCCACTTCCCGCCAGAGCAGCCTGTTTCTCCACGCCAGTCGAGGCACTCCACACGTTCTGCCGTTTCACAATGGAAACAAAGCAGGCTGGCCAGCACGTTTCACTCACCACCAAATCTCACCTTTCTGGGAAGACGTGGCCACACCAGTGTCCAGCACCCCATCCATCCAGGCTAAGTCAGACTGCCTGGTGGAAGATGGGCCGGCCATTCGGCTCCGGGCCCTCCGGCACGGAGGCCCTGCGGTACGGAGACCCCTTGCCGCAGGACAGCAGCTAGGCCGTGCCACATCCGGGTAACCAAGGAGTGTTCACCACCACACACGCCCCAGGGCCCGGAGAGACCAAGAGAGCAGCATGCTAGCACTGCAGGCGTGCAGCCGGAAGTCCTAGACCACACACAGGCCCGCAGACCCGGCGGTAGCCTCCCCGGGGCATCCCGCCCTCCACCTCTGGCCTGCGTCCTGCTCACGGCGTGAGGAGTCTGACCACGCACACCAGGGCGCCCGAGAGCTGCCCTCCGAAGCAAAGGCAAGAAGCACCCAACCGGTGCCAGGCAAGCGTGTCCACAGCACGGAGGGCATGTACTTACATCTTTTGCCATGTTACCAGATCCGGGAAATGGATGCTATAAACGCTCACTCCCAGAGAATGGTTTTTCTGGTAAAGAGGAAAGAAAACAAGAGATTATGAGAACGGAAAGGAAGTTTCAGAAGCCCCGTCTCCAAGGAACCGGCTCCCACCGCCGGGGCGCCTGCGGGCGGCAGGGACCTCCCTCCTCCTGGGGTTGGGCAGGCCGCGGGTGCCACATCGGGGAGTCAAGTCACCTCGCCGAACGGAACCGGAGCTGGTGGAAACGCGCCGCCACGAGCCCCGGTCCCCCCAACGCCGCGCAGCGAGAGGGCGGGGCCGGCCCCGGGCAGGGCGGGGCCCTCGCGGCCAG